ACCATATGTGTACCTGGAATTCCAGAAAAGGGAAGAACAGAACACATGTTTGAAGAAATGATGGCTGAAAACTTAAAAAATTCGATGAAAACTATAAACCCACAGATCCCAAGAACTTAATGAACCTCAAGCAAAATAAACATTTAAAAAATCATACCAAGGAAAAACGTAATCAAACTGCTAAAAATCAGTACTAAACAAAAAATCTTAAAAGCAGCTGGAGAAGAAAAGACAAGTTAAATAGAGAGGAACAATGACAAGAATGATAGCAGACTTCCAGAGAGAAATCATGCAAACCAGAAGATAATGAAGCAATATCATTAAGATAGTGAAATGAAAAAAAGCACTGTCAACCTAGAATTTGGCAGAGCAAAAATATCCTTCCAATATAAAGGTGAAGTAAAGGCTTCTTTTAAGACAAACAAAAGCTGGAAGACTTTATCTCCCGCAGCCCTGCACTATAAGATACGTAAAAGAAAGTTCTTGAGGAAGAAGGAATTTGGATCTATGCAAAGGAATGAAGTGTTCTGGAATTGGTAAATACGTAGGTAAAAATGAAAAGACTTTTTCTCACTTGAAATATCTTTAAAAGATAACACACTGTTAGAAAAAAGTAGCAATGAATTGTGGGGCTTATACATAGGTAGACATAAAATCTATAACTACAGTGGCACAAAGGACAGAAGGGGAAATGGAAGTATACTGTTATAAGATTTTTATGCTCTATGTGAAGAGGTATAATATTACTGGGAGATAGATTGTGATATATTAAAGACGTATATTATAAACCTTAGAGCAAGGACACACACAAAAATAAGAGGGATATCGAATAAGCAATAGTGGAAATAAAATGCAATCATAAAAAATACTCAGTTAATCCAGAAGAAAGCAGAAAAAGGCAATGAAAAGGAATAAAGAACAAATAGGGAACAAATATCAAGATGACATATTTGGACCCAACCATATTGATAATTACATTAAATGTAAATGGTCCAAACACTGCACTTAAAAGGCAGAGATTTTCATATTGGCTAAAAAGAAAGTCCAAATTAAATGTTGTCCACAAGAAATGCATTTTAACTCTAACTATACAAACAGGCTAAAAATAAAAGAATAAAAAATATAGTCATACTATATATTAGCCATGCTAACACTAATCAAAAAAAGATTGAATGCTATTTTAATATCAGACAAAATAGATTTAAGAGAAAGGAGTATTAGTAGGAATAAAGTGGTTTATGCCAACAAAGCACTTGTTAACTCAAAGGAGGAAAACCCAGCCTGGCTACACCACGTTAATTAAGTGACCCACAATACACATTAAGTGACCTACCTACATTAATGGTAGGACACACTGATATTATCTGTCACCTGATAGTATGCAGAGAGAGGAATACCACACACTTTAGTGCTATTCCTGCCAAAGATTAATAATATAAACCTAATCATGAGGAAACATCACACAAACTCAATCTGAGGGACGTTCTATAAAATAAGTGGCCTGTAATCTTCAAAAGTGTCAAGGCCACGAAAATCAAACGAAGACCAAAGAACTGCACCAGACAGAGGAAGACTAAGAAAACACAACAACTAAAAGCAACACCTGATTTTTATTTGGATCAGTTTGCTATAAAAGACATTATGACAACTGACAAAGCTTGAAAGGAGTCTGAGTATTAGTGACAGTAATATATCAGTGTGAATTTCCTGATTTTGATGATTGTGTTATGGTTGTGTATGAGAATACATACAGTATTAAAGGATGATTGGATACCAGATTACCAAATAAATCCCAAATCATTCAGGGAAAAAATTCTTTGTTCTGTACTTACTATAAAAGAATTTGTGGGGGCTGGCCCCGTGGCCGAGCGGTTAAGTTCGCGTGCTCTGCTGCAGGTGGCCCAGTGTTTCGTTGGTTCGAATCCTGGGCACGGACATGACACTGCTCATCAAACCACACTGAGGCAGCGTCCCACATGCCGCAACTAGAAGGACCCACAACGAAGAATATACAACTATGTACCAGGGGGCTTTGGGGAGAAAAAGGAAAAAATAAAAAAAATAAAAAAATAAAAATAAATAAAAAGAATTTGTGAGGTTTTCCCAAAACAAAAACAAATTAAGAAAATTAATCACGCTATGTTATTACAATGATTCCTCATTGTATTTGAAATGAAACCTAACCTCTTTATCGTATTCTACAAGTCCCCCTCTAACCTTGTTTCTTACAATTTTTTTCAATAACTACATTCCAGCCGCCTTGGTCTCCAGTTTATCCTTAGATAACATCAAGCTCATACAACTCAGAGTACTTCACTGGTGCCACTAGGCTGTGAAATTCTTCTCCTGGTTTTTCAGGTGGCTGCCTTCTTATCCTTCAGACTTCAGTCTATATATCAACTCCTCAGAGAGACCTTTTCTGGCTATAGTATCCAAGGCAGGATCCCTGATTTCCTTAACAGCACATAACCTAACCTGAATTTATGTTTTTTACATGTTTTCTCTCTCTTCTTTACTAGAATATAAATCCACAGCTATTTTGTTGGCAGTGGTATGCTCAGAGTTTAGCAAAATACCAGGCGCTTTTTAAGAACCCCAAATTTCTGAATAGATGGAGTAAATAGTGTCAATTACATATTAAAGTAACATTATCCTAAACTTGTGAATTCATCCCTAATCCATTCCCACCACCTCCTTTGGCCTCGTAGATTATTTTTGAAAACTAGAAACACTTTTGAAAAGTCTTCAGTTCATCTAATGCCAGGATATATCCCATACATATTTTATATCTCCAGAGAATAATCTTCTTATATTTCTCCTCCATTCAAGATCTTCTACTACGTGCCTAACAAATCAAAAATAAATTACACTACTTAAAAGGGCCCTCTAAAATCTGGTCATACATGAATCATGGAACCTAAGGGCTCAATGTTCATGTAATAGAGTTTGTAGGATTTATCCATTTAGGACAATGTGCTTAATGTCTCTAAAAAGTGACTCAGTCCCAAATGTGAGTCTTAGCTAAAGCTGTTTGCATATCCTACCTTAATTCCAATTAATCAAAAATATCTGATTATGGTAATCCTGTGTAGATGTCATTATCTCTATGAAGTCTCCAGTAACCCAAATTTCTCTCTCATGTGAACACCAACCACCCATAACAAAGAAAAAAGAACAAGCCATATTTTACTTATCTTTTTCTGTTCCCTGCCTAACGTGAATAATTTTTGAAAATTAAAGTTGAATTTATATTCAATAATATTCACACTTTTTGCTATGTAGTTCTATGAATTTTGACAAATTCTCAGTCATGTAACCACTAATATTGTCAGAATATAGACTATTTCCATCATTCTCCAAAGCTCCCTCATGACCCTATGTAGCCAACCCCTCCTCCCAACCCAGACCCTAGAAACCACTAAACTGTTTGTGTCCCAGCTGTTTTGCCTTTTCTAAAATGTCATATAAATGGAATCCTATAACATGTAGGCTTTTGAGTCTGGCTTCTTTCATGTAGCAAAATGCAACTGAGAGTCATTCATGTTATTGCTTCATCAATATTTCCTTTTTGTTGCTGAGTAGTTTTCCGTTGAATGAATATACCACAGTGTGCTTACCCATTCACCAGTTAAAAGACAACTGGGTTGTTTTCAGGTTTTTAATAAAACTTCTAAAAACATTTACATACAGGTATTTGCGTTGGACTACATTTTAAGATTTGATAAGAATAGGACTAAAGATTAGTACGAATAAATCACTGTCTGAGAGCAAAATAGAGAATCAAAGACAGTGTGATTACTTGAAAAAATTAAAAAAATAACTCTAACAAGATGGAAAGAAAACACAGTCACGGAGGAAGGGAGAAACACATATTGATATAAGGAAGGAATATACGTGTTTTAATAATAAGCTATGTAGGACTACAAGTAAGTATAGGGCACATGTAATAGAAAGAAAGAATAATGTTATTTTTTAAAATTCATAAAAAGCAAAAATTTCTATTGAGGAGGAAAAATTTAAAAGATATGGGAAAATACTGTTACATCTGATCATAAAATTCTTAGGAATATTACAGTGAAAAGCCAAATATCCCCAGACACTTCAATCACAGCCAGCACAACAGGTGTCATGTCTTCCCTGATCACAGAGAGTAAGACAAATGATAGCTCCTTCTGGACACCCTGACCATGGCTTCCACCACAGACACCATTACAGTGTCTACAAAAGGCTCTGGGACAAGTGTAGTATCTACACCGTCGGCAGCCAACACAATGTGCATTGAGACCACCACACCATCTCTGCCTACCACATCATTCAATATAGTCTCTGAGAGCACCAGGACCTCCATGATAACATCTGTGTCCACCACATTCACCATGGCCTTTGAAATCCTTATCAGTTCTAGGACCACCATAGCTTCCACCACAGCCTCAGGGACTCTGTTGAGAAGCTGGAGCTGGTATATTGAATTAAGAATATGCAGATTATGATCTTTTGAATGAGAGGCATGAGCCACCCACACAGGTGGGCAGGTAGCTCCCTCAGCATCTGGGCTCCCACTTTGGGTAAATGAAATCCACAGGTCATTTTGATTGAAGGTGCACTTTCAGTACAATCAATCAAAGGAAGTAGAGTCACGAGACTTATTACCTACAGATTCCAGAAGTGAAGGGACACAATGAGCTGGGGGTAAGGGCACTCCTCCATCCAGGTCATGAGTGAGCAGGAGATAGACAGCAGGGTAACAAGCACCTATTACTTACAAGGTGGTTGATGGTGGGGGAGATCACTAACTTTTCATGGGCTTAACTCTAAGCAGTTAATTTAGAAGATGCCCTGGAAAAATAAACAGAGAACTTATGGCAGCCATCTTAAACTCAAGTCGTTATCTAAATGTCCAGACTTGGAGAGTGAGCAGGCTTGTCATAAGGTAAAATGTCTAGGCAACAACTGAGAAAAAGAAAAGTTGTTTGTCTCAAAAGTTGTTATTCTTATCACAGGGACCACGACAGGTTTTGTCACCTCAATGAACTCCACCACAGGTTCTCAGACCACCACCTCTGTGCCAACTACAGCCTCCACCATGGATACTGAGAGCACGAGAGGGTCTGATACTACCAGATCCATCTCCACAGCCTCTCAGGTCATCACACCCTCTACCACAGCATCTGTGCCCACCACTGCATCCACCATTGACCCTAAGACAACCAGAGGCATTGAAACTACCACAACCTTCAACACAGCCTCTGTGGTCACTACCCCCTCTACCGCAGTATCTGTGCCCACCACAGCATCCACCATGGACTCTGAGACTGCCAGAAGCTCTGAAACTACCACAACCATCACCACAGCTTCTGGGGTCACCACACGCTCTACCACATCTGTGCCCACTACAGCCTCCACCGTGGATACTGAGAGCACGAGAGGCTCTGAAACTACCAGATCCATCAACACAGCCTCTCAGGTCATCACACCTTCTACCACACCATCTGTGCCCACCAGTGCATCCGCCATGGGCTCTGAGACCACCAGAAGCTCTGAAACTACCACAACTATCACCAAAGCCTCTGTGGTCACCAGACCCATTACCACAGCATCTGTGACCACCACTGCGTCAAGTATGGACTCTGAGACCACCAGAGGCATGGAAAGCACCACAACTAACACCACAGCCTCTGGGGTCACCACACCCTCTACCACAGCATCTGTGCCCACCACTGCATCCGCCATTGACCCTAAGACAACCAGAGGCATTGAAACTACCACAACCTTCAACACAGCCTCTGTGGTCACTACCCCCTCTACCACAGTATCTGTGCCCACCATAGCATCCACCATGGACTCTGAGACTGCCAGAAGCTCTGAAACTACCACAACCATCACCACAGCCTCTGGGGTCACCACACGCTCTACCACATCTGTGCCCACTACAGTCTCCACCGTGGATACTGAGAGCACGAGAGGCTCTGAAACTACTAGATCCATCCCCACAGCCTCTTTAGTCAGCATACCCTCTACCACAGCAGCTGTGCCCACCACAGCATCCACCATGGACTCTGAAACTGCCACCAGAGGCTCTGAAACTACCACATCCATCACCACAGCCTCTGAGGTAACCAAATGCTGTACCATAGCAGCTGTACCCACCACAGCATCCACCATGGATTCTGAGATCACCAGAAGCTCTGAAACTACCACAACCTTCAACACAGCCTCTGTGGTCACTACACTCTCTACCACAGCAGCTGTGCCCACCACAGCCTCCCCTGCAGTTTCTGAGACCACTGTGCACTTCATGACAACTGCTGTACCAACAAAACTCTCTGGCACAGCCTCTGAAACCACTCTTCTCTCTGAAATAACCACCCTCTCTGCCACAGTTTCTGGGACTATCAGGTCATCCACAGCAGGCTCTCGGCCCACCATGGCCTCCACCTCAGCCTCTGAGACCACTATCATCTCCACTAAAGCCTCTGTGACAACTGCGGAGTCTTTGACTTCCACAGGCACCCCAAAACCTGCTGAGACCACTACAGAATCTGTGTCTAACACAGCCTTTACCACAATGTCTGAGACCACCACAGGCTCCGTAACAATGTCTGTGCCGACCACAAACTCTGAGACAACCGTAGCCTCCGAAACTACTGTGGCCTTCTCCAAAGCCTCTGAAAACACGACAGTCTACACTATGGTCTCTAAGACTACTGTAGGTTTTGACACCTTCATGGCTTCCACCACAGCCTCTGAGACCCCCACAGCCTCAACAACAGTGTCTGTGCCACAAACAGCCTCGACCACAACCTCTGAGAGCACTGCAGTGTCTTTGTCCACCACACACTCTGAGATCACCACAGCCTCCACCTTAAGATCTGAGACCAGCATGGCCTACAATACAGTCTCTGAGGTCACTTCAGAGTCTGTTAGCAATGTGGCCTCCACCACAGTCTCTGAGTCCACCATGCCATATACAATAGCACCTGTGAGCACCACAGCCTCCAGCACAGGCTCAGAGACCATAAAGTCCACCAAGGCTTCCTCATCAGCCTCTCAGCTCACCACAGGTGTGTCCACTTTTCCTGTGCCCACTACAAACAGCACCATAGTTTCTGAAACCCTGACTGTCTCAACCACAGCCTCTAAGAGCACCACAGGCTCCTTCTCAGCATCTGTGCCTATCATATTCTCTTCCACAGCTTCTGGGGACACTGAAGCTTCCACCTCACCTTCTGGACCCACCACAGCCTCAGAGGTCACCACAGCCTTCGCTTTGGCCTCATTGCCCCTCTTGGCCTCTACCTCCACCTTTGGGGCCACTGCAATCTCCACCAGTGTCTAGACATTTCAAAACCTCTTCTGCCACTTTAGTGTCCACCAAGGCAACTGACTTTTCTACTCAACCCATCACCAACACAGCTGTATCAGGTACTAACTACCACATCTTCTCTAATCACATACCTTTACTCCAGTGACAGCCACCACCTTTTCATCTGTTTCTATCATTTCTTCTCTGGACTCTAGTCAAGCCACCATGCCTGTTAGATATAATTTTGTTTCCTCTTCTTCAGTCCTACTTATTTCTACCCTGGCCTCACCTCCTTTTGTTTAGTGTCCATCATTTCCATCCCAATCAGAAACACTTCTTTGCAAATATTCCAACCACCAGTTAATTATAGTCCATCACTTCTGCTGACAGCAAACTCACCTCAACTCTGTGACACCCATCCTCACTTGTCAGACGCTCTCACTTCTGTGCCAAGTGCAATCAGCTCTCTTCCATCTACCACCTGCAGTACCACCACCTCATCTTCAATATATTCACCACTGGTCCAAGGGTTGCAAACTACACTTCATGGGCCAAGTCTTGCCTCTTATCTGTTTTTCTAAATGAAGAGTTATTGGAGCACAACCTATTTGTTTACATCTGTAGCTGCTTTCCAGCTACTTTGCACAGTTATGACAGAGACTTTGTGACCCAAATAACTTAAAAACCTACCATCTGACACTTTACAGAAAAAGTTTGCCAATCCTTGCTCTAGTCTAAGACCAGAATGATTGTTTTCATTCTCTGGCAGTTCTCTGAATAAAACCACCTCTGCACTTGCCATCAGCACTCGTGTTGGACCTGAGTCCACCTGCTTAATTCTGAACCACCCACTGCTATTCCAGGGACAGACACTGTTCTTGTATCAGTGGAACCACTTCCGACCTAAGCACAACCATTGCTGCTGGAGCCACCACCTCCACTACCTCTGCTCTGTTAGGTCCTCCCACCTTGTTCTAGTCACCCTTCCTGTCCCTGGGGCCAGCCTCCTCCACGTGGGCCAGGTTCTGCCACATCTGTTCCTAGCGCCTCTCCTCGACTTTGTTGACCGCCATGATTGTGTTAGATCACGTCACCTCTGCTCAGCCATGGCCACTGCCTCACCTGTGAGTAAACCTGATTCTGTCATCTCTTCCTCTGGCACCGTTTTATACTTGGGACTACATCACAAGAGTGTAAGACCCTATCCCTTTTATCCAAGCCCACTCTCTTCTATTTGGGTGGCCACTTCTGATATTGAATAGATCCTCTACTTCTGTATCAATCACTGTCGCATTTCCTCAATCTTCTGCCTTCATCAGCAACATCAGTGGACATATTATACCTTCTCTTCTCTAAGACAATCACATCTATTCTAGGGATCATGGCCTTATGTGAATTACCTTCTACCATCTCTTCTCCTATTACAACACCTCTCCTCAAACCACCACTACCAAATGTGTGTTAGATTCAACTCCCCTGCTCTAAGTACACCTGCCTCCCCTTTAACTGTCTCCACTACAAAGCCGTCATATTGTGTGACGTGTTTCCTAGGTGCCAGGACCACTGGAACCAGACCAGCTACCCTCATCTCTGTCACCACGGCCCCTGGAATGGACTCCACAGCCCCTGCTATCAGCTATACCATCCCTGGAACAGGGCTGAATAATTCTGGCCCGGGCACATCCAATGTTGGAGCATCATCTACCACCTCAGTCCGAGGTACCAAGACCACCAGGACAAGATCCACCCATGAGCCGACCACCACTGCTGGAACCAGCACCACCTCCCAGGAAACAGGCCCAGTCACCGCGGGCACAGACACAGTTAGTGTGAGCCACACGCCAACAAACACGACTAAACCAAGTGGATATTTGCAGCCCTGGACCATCATCCTCATCTCCCTGGCTGCAGTTGTGGTCGGTGTTGGGCTGCTGGTAGGACTGAGTTTTTGCCTGGTGAGTGTCAGCGATGGGTTAATCGTGGAGCCTGCTAAGAAGGTGGTTGATGAATGGGAGTAGAATTCGTGCAAACAGTGCTATTAGGATATCTAGAATGAGAGAGGGGAATAAGTGGCTGTGCTAGGAAGGAAAGAATCACATAGCATGATATAAAGGCCAGAGAGAATGACCACATCAGACAAAGTGATAGATCAAAAGTAGAAAAAGAGGAGGAAAAAGATGAAGTTGGGGCAAAAGTGAAAGGAAATTGTGTGAACAGGGGAAAAATAGAAAGGTGGGACTTAAAGAAAATCACTTCTCTTAATAAAACAAAATCTGGAAGTTAGAATATCTTGGCACTGGAAGAAGAATCTCCAGGGAATGAGGGGTCATTAGGCCCTCACTCTGTTTACTGATTTCCATGACACACACGAGCACTGCTCAGCACAGGGGACCTCTTCCCCTCTGATGTTTTTGTGCAGATAAGGATGAATATTCTGTCCTTGGTTCTCCTCAGCACCGCTGATAGACTGGAATCATCAAATCATTTCACTAAATCTGAGAGAGAACGAGAGCAAAATAAACATAAAGAAAGCAGGAAACAGGAATGTTTGGCCATCCAAAGTACAGGTTTCTGACTGTCTTATATGTAACAAGTTTCTGGCACTCACAAGCACTCTGCAATTCCCTGTTCTCTCTGGGATAGTTACTCTCCAACCTCCCATCACATTTCTGCTTTCTGGTTTTGATCTTTCTTTGCATTTTTCTTATTCTGGTTTTCACATTTATTTATGTCTTTCCTACTTTCTTAATAGTTCTTGTTGCTAAGCTCACCTTTGAGGAATGATGCTGAGTGTAAGTCAGCGGGGTGCTGGACTAGGTCATACTGCCTCACAAGAGACTGTGCATCTCTTCCCAACTCTGAGTTCAGTGACATCACATTGGTAACTTAAAATATGCTTCTATGGAAATTGGCAAATACTACAAATCACGTCTTTTTTCCTCTGGAGAGTTGGTTGTTAAAGCATCACCAGTATACCACTGGTAAAAATGGATAAACGAATGAAAAACATATTGCAGCCGCCGAGGGTTGGCATAATATAGTCAACTTACTAGGATTCTTTATTTCAGAGTTATCAGCCTCCCCCCGTATGTAGGCTATAAAATAAAGACACATCATCCAGGAATGATTTCCTAAGTCAGTTTATAATTTTATGTGCAAGATCAACAGCTAATGAGAACTAACATTAGCTGAGTTTTTACTAAGTGCTAGGCCCAGGACTGAGTGCTTAAAAGGCATCATGCCATTTGATTTGCTCTACAATCCTTTGGGGATATTATACCCACCTTATAGGTGAGGGACCTAGAGCTCCATAACCTTAGTTACTTGCCGCAGCACACGCAGTAAGTGGCAGATCGGGTACTCTAATCCAGGTTGGTTTGATTCTGTAGTTCACGCCTGTAATCTCAAGGCTCTGCATGGACCTTTCTGAGGGCTCTCAATTCCATGTACCTGTCCTCAGCTTCCTGAGCTGACTAAGGATGTGAAAGACTGTCTTTTGGGTGAGTCTCTGCGTCTTTCCCATAGGGATGTGGATTCACCTTTGTCTTGAAAGTCCAACAGCACATAACCTCGCTATGCTGCAGAAGATATATTAATCAGGTAACAAGGGAAACTGTTTTCTAAGATAGAGAAACAGTAAAACTACAAAGAGAGAGAGAGACAGAGACACATTAAGGATGGTGGTAAAGAGAGGAGAAGTAGGTGATTTTGAGAAGTAATAATCTGACATTGGTGAAACGGGTATGTATAGGGATAAGGGAGAAGAGAACTTATTTTATAATATTATTTTTTTCTCTTTTAGAGGAGCTTTTCCTTCCCCCTGACAAATATTGGCGCTTATTTCCCTCATGACTACAGCTTTGGCCTTGGTATGGACCTGGGCTCAGGACTGGACTCTGGAATGTTCCACAGTCTGTGAAATGAACTGGTCCATGGAGAAACACATGGCTTTGGACACAGAATGGGTCATGGGGTGGGCTATGAATTGAGCCACAGCCGTGGGGATGGTTATGGCATGAATCATGGCAGGAGTCATGAACACGGAGGAGGCCATCACAATAGCCATGAAATGGATCACAGAGGAGGCCGCTGAGGAAGCCACCAAGGAGGCCATGACAGGACAAGATGGCTGTTGCCATAGATTGGATATTGGAAAGTATTTTGGGGAAAGAAAGAGTGGGTTGGAGGGGGAGATCATGGAAGAGAAGAAAAGAATGAGCATGGAATGATTAAAATATAGTATAAAAATGTTCCCAGGGAGTAAGGCCAGGGTCAAGAAAAGAACCAGCAAAAGGATCACAAGGACCTTGATCAACATTGAGAAAGATCAAACAGAGACTGGATTTGGAGAAGATGCACAGCTTTACCAGGCTTGGAGATGAATTTAAGTCAAAGTTTCCATGCATTCTACCGGAGCCTGATGTCATTGTAGGGAGTCATGGTGATTGCCCTCAGGGTGTCTTCTCTTCCTTCTCCCACCACCCAAGTCATGGTCAGGGTTTCTCATCCCTATGTTTTCTCAGGATGCTATAAATGTTAACGCCACGTCTCTAAGAAACGAAAGCACATAATAAATGTGTTATCAGGACCACATGCTTACTTGTTTTCCTATTTGTTCTTTCAGTTTTCCCTGTGAGTTTCTTTTTTTTTGAGTGCTTACTATGAACCAAGTGCTGTTGTAGTAACCTTTAAGTACATCATCGTTTAATCCTCAAAAAATTCTGTGAGGAGATCTCAAGGTGGGCAAAGATATTTATGCGACACAAAAAGCACTAACTGTTAAAGAAAAGTTTGATAATTTGGACTTCATTAAAGTCCAGTATCAGAATATATCTTTAAGAGACTGAAAAGGAACGCCAAAGATGGGATCAGATATTATAATACATACATCTGACAAAGGTCTCATATCCAGAATATAGAAAGAACTAAATCAATAAGAAAAAGACAATGTAATTTTACATGGGCAAAATATTTGATAAATATTTAGCAGTAGAGGATATCAAAATGATCAGTGAACATTTGAATAGGTACTCAATATTATTTATCAGAGAAATGGAAATTAAAATTCACAATGCGATACCATGACATATATACCATAATGACTAGAATTTCAATGATTGAGAATACCAAGTATTGGTAAGGATGTTGAAGAACTGGAATTCTAGTACACTGTTAGTGGGAATATAAATTGATACAATTATTTTGGGAAAATGTTCAGCAACACTAAAACTATGACCCAGCAATTCCACTCCTGAGTATATTTATCCGAGAGAAATAAATGTCTATGTCCACCAAAAAACACCTATCATAGCAGCTTTATTCATAATAGTGCCAATCTGGAAATTATCCAAAAGTTCATTAACGTTAGAATGGGTAAATAAATTGTGGCATATTTATACAATAGAATGCTACCCAATAGTGAAAAAAGAATGAACTACTGAATCATGCAATAGCATTGATGAATCTCATAGATATAATGTGGAGTAAAAGAAGTAAAAAACCAAAAGAATACATACTGTATCATTCCATTCACAAGCAGTTCAAGAATATGTAAAAATATGTCACCAGCCTGGTGACATAGTGGTTAAATCCATGTGCTCTGCTTGGGTGGCCCGGGGTTTGCGGGTTCGGATCATCAAGTCACACTGAGGTGGCATCCCACACAAAATAGAGGACGATTGGCACAGATGTTAGCTCAATGACAATCTTCCTCAAGCAAAAAGAGGAAGACTGGCAATAGATGTTAGCTCAGGGCCAATTGCTCTCACACAAAGAAAGAATATGTAAAATTAATCTGCTGTAATAAAGGTCAGAACTGTGGCTGCCTTTGAGGAAAACCCTGGGAGAAGGCATGAGGAAACTTTCTGGGAGGGGGAAATGATAATGTTCTATACTTTGTCTGAATGGTGATTACATGGGTACACACATATGTAAAACTTCACTGAAATGTGCACATAAGATTTGTGTACTTTATTGCATGTAACTTGCACTTCAATCAAAAAAATGAAAAAGGTATCCGCTGAGACCTTCTTTTTCTGACAGCATCATGGTTTCCTTGGTTGGAGGATATGGTTGGGGATACACGATGATAAATAAGGCATTCAGTAAGCCCAATGACAGTGGTGCTAATGGAAGCATTGTGTGCAAGGACAACAAATATCTCTTTCAATGAGGACAGATCACTACTTCCTCCAGGTTGGGAGAGGTCCGATGTAATCAACCAGACAGCAGCTCTCTGGAGAATGATGCCATATGGGGGGTCAACATTGATCTCTGCTGTTTGCAGCTTAGGCACTTAGCAATACAAGTATCAGTCTGGACCAGCTCTGAAGAGCAGAAGACACCTTAATGAGCCCATGTATAACCTCCATCCCTGCCACTAGGCTGCTTTATCCACGAGCCCTTTGAGCTAGCACTAAGGCAGCTGGAGAAAGTGTTTGACTGACAGCCACAGAATGGGTCGTATTGTCCACCCAATAACTGAAAGCCTTCTTTGAAAGCAGCAAATGCCCATTGGTGAATATTCACATGGGGCACAATGTTCTCACCATCTTTGCCCTTCGCAAAAGGCTCATCCACATTCCTCTTTCTCAGACTTCCTGGCAATCATCAATTCACCACTTATATTCTTTCCACAACCCAAGTTATCCAGCCAAACTGTTAGCCATTGCCTATTGATCGGGGCAGACTGTAATTTTGGTCATCTCTTTGCTTGGGCAAAGTAAACAACCAGATGAATTATTCCAGGTTCCACTCCCTGGGAGGATTTCCCTTCCTCACTGTCCTTCATGGGACCCTGAGTGGGGCTGAAATGTGGCAGCAGTCTTCTTTCTGGTGGTGCTCTTATATCATGCAGAGCCATCGGCAGGCCTGATGAAACCTAATCTTTCTCAGTCAATCAGACATAGGAAACTGCGTGTGACTGTGGGTATGGAGGGAGAGTTTAGAAATGTATCCGGAGTAGAGGCTGTTGGAGTTTGAGCTGCCTGCTCATGCATCTTACTTGTGTCTTGCGGACTTAATTGAGTCCAAATTCGTATACACCACTTCTGCTCGATGAGGAGAGTGAGGTTAAGTATGCCCAATCTTATAGTTTGGAGGTGCAGACAACACCTGGTTCATAAAGGGCAGCTCACATTTCATGAACTGTTACATACAGAGAATCCAATGCCATGTCAGATGCTAGTTATTAAAAGGAGATAAGCTCATGTGATTGTGGCAGAATTCAGTTCCACGTGGTTGTAGAATTGGGGTCCTATTTCTTTGCTGGATGTCAGCAGGAGTTGCTCTCAGATGCTAGATCTGACTCTAATTGTGGAGCTGGAGGCCATGAGGGTGTTGATATAGGGCCTGTGGTAGCCAGAACAATGGCCCCCCAAAAATGTCTGCATCCTAATCTGAAGAAGCTGAAATCTGTCTTATATCGCAAAAAGGACTTTGCAGGTGTGATCACATTAGGGATCTTGAGATGGGAAGATTATTCTGGATAATCTAGGTGGGCCCAATATAATCAGAAAGGTCCTTACAAGAGGGAGACAGGAGAGTCAAAATCAGAGAGATTTGAAGATACTATCATGCTGGCTTTGAAGGAGGAGGAAGAGGTCACGAGCCAAGGAATATAGGAAGCCTCTAGAAGCTGGAAAAGGCAAAAAAACGAATTCTCCACCAGAGCCTCCAGCAGTAACACAGCCCTGCTGACACCTTCTCTTTAGCCCAGTGAGCCCACTTCAGACTTCTGACCTCCGGAACTGTAAGAGAATAAATCTATGTTGTTTTAAGCCACTAGGTTTGCGGTAATTCGTTACAGCAGCGGTAGGAAACTAACACAGGGTCTTAGGAAAATCTGCATCCGCTTGCCAAAAAAAGTGCTTCAGGAGGGGTCACTACAGGGTCTTCAGGCCGAAAGAAGTGAACTTCCCCAGACAGAGGAGGAGGGGGCTTCTTCTGCTGGCAAGGAAGGCTCAGCGGGATTTCAAATTCAAGTTTCTCAGATTCCTCTCAATCTACCCAAGTGTCTCCACCTCAACCCTGGGCTTCTATTTAACAAATATCCTAGATGTCACATAAGATTCTGGCAAGGACATAAACGCAAGTTGAATATAATTCTTCAAACTGCGGAATCAAACTTTGAGTCTGGTTGTATCGTACATAGTCCTTGCAGCTTCCAGAGATAAGCATTTCTTTTAGGGTAGTCAGAGAAAGCTCTTTTGTTCTCAGTACTGCCTTGACTGAGGGTGTGACAGACAGGTGTGATGGCTGTGACCCCTCCAATGCAATCACCCACATCATCTTGATCTATCACAGGAACCACTCCACCCCCAAGACTCCCCAACCCTTCCCTCAACAATTACTTTATTCCAGACACAACCACAAGCGATAACTTAAGTAACTCTTATTACCTTTTGCTACGGAATACAAATACCCTACTTTATACCAGTGTGAGGTCAGCCCTGCCCTCAAGCCCTAGGTGGTCAGATAACCCATCCCAGATTCCCATTTTGGAAGGTCAACTTTCTAAAACCTCGTCTTATATCAAATACTGTAACAGTTAGGGTTCACTAATGAAAACAGAAACCACTCTGAATATTTCAAGCATAAAGGGATTTAGTAGAAAGAATGGTGCTCATAAAACTACTTGAAAAGCTGGAGGAGTAGAAGTCAGGATGACAGCGGATAGCTTTCAGGTTCACTGCTGCAGAGAGCAGAAAGCTGCTGTCACCCAGAGGTGGGGACATGCTGCCAGCTCCAGCGTTCCTTGACAACCCTATAGCAACAGGGAAATGCAGAATCCTCAGAGCCACCGCAAAATCCTCACCTTGGAAGCCCATGGATCCAGCCATTGTCACTAACAAAGGAAATCTAAGTCTTGTGAGAATTCGTCTCATTGGACGAACATAAAAATGTGTCTAGATCCCGTTGTCAAGGAAGCCCGGAAAATGTAGTTCCCAGGTTCAAGGTTCCTGCTGAATGAGAGAGAGCATGGAAGGATATGAAAAGGTGTCAATGCCAATAATAGACGCTGGCACAGATCCACGCACGGAGAGAATGCAGTGGGGCTAGAGATGGTAGATTAAAACTAGATGGAGAAAGCAGACTTATTGGCTAACTGCCTGCAGGAGATCGGAATGTTAAGACTAAAAGACACAGTAGAGAGAATCTAGAATTCAGGCAATTCCTAAATAGGACTTTTTTTTTTTTTTGCCTAAATTTTACCAAAAAAAACATAACCAAATTATGCCGTGTCTTCTGTAATTTTTCTATTTGTATTCAAGAGTTTGAATCCTAAAGTTTCTAATACTGAAGGAACTTAATCTCTCATTCTGTAAACAAGACAGAAGTTCAAAGGCAGTCCCTACATCCCTGTTCCTTCATGGTCATTAGAACTAACTATCAAAACAGTCGTCCAAATACGGTCACTTGCCAGTCGATTGCGCTAGGACAACCTGCTTCTAGCTCGTTCATTCTAACGACGTGTGCCTTCTGATAAATACGGCATCTATTTTTGTTTCAAATTTAACCTTGCAGAACTTTCATAGCTTTTGTGGAAGCTCCAGAATTTCTGTAGGAGGGGTTAGGTACGTGTGATTTGGTTT